GGATTCAGCATAGCAAATAAGCCCGGGTAAGCACAAAGTCTCAAAATCGAGTTTTTGCCCGGACACTGCCTTTAAGTTTATTCGAAAGAGCGTGACTTCCTCGACATGACGGTTGCAAATCAGTTGAGTTTTGACAGTCCCGGAAATTATGCGGATGGGGTAACAAGCGCAGCTTCAGTGGTAGGCCAAGAATTCATCAGCTAAAGTTGAGCAAAGCTCCTCCTCCATTTCCATCCTCAAAGTTCAAAACTGTCAATTTTCTTGTAATAGACCCATATCGAAGCTCTCTAAGACTGTTCTAGTGTTGATACGAGCCTCCACTTCAAAAATCTTTATGGCTGCGCTTTACCAACCCATCCGTAGAATCTCCAGCAATTCCCAAACTGAACCCCTTTGCATACCATCATGTTGAGGAAGTCGCGCTCTTTCGAATGAGCCTACCTGCAGGCTCGTAGAGTGACTGTCGGCCGAGCTACAAGCCTGCAAAGCGTTGCAAGTCAGTGTGAGGTGCAGATGGAAGTCATGTGCGCGCAGCCATTTTCAGCAAAGAAACTCACCACCACACGTCCGATGCACAGAGGATGGCAAAGAGCATCCGTTCTATTCGAAAAGCTTTGTTAGGATGTTTTGAATAAGTCCCCCACAATGGTCGGCCGCCTCATCGTGGCGTGGGGGTGGCACTGGGTGTCGAACTGCGATGCACAGCCGAGTGTATACTCTGGCAGGGCCTCCCATGCTGTGAAGGAGTTCGACGTTTCCGGTTTCGGCCGGATGCATAGCTAAGAGCTGGCCAGGCCAGATCCACCGCCGTCTGGTTTTCAGGTCGCCAGGCGGTTTTCCCCGCTCCAAGCCCGGGGTCAGCTATCGCCCCGTGGAAAACAAGAGTTGGCCTAGTAAGTCTGCTCTTGTAAAGGAAAAATTTCATTACTCTACCAGTTAGAAGAATAGAAAGAAACCCTGCACATCGGATCCCGCCTACGGCGTCGGGTGGTAGCAAAACTGATGTCAGGGTCCTCAGGGCGCCTTTTGGATTGGACAAAAACGACACGTTTGCCCGGACGACACGCCACGGAGACTGCCTCATGCTCTGCACCTACAACGCCAGGACAGTCTCCACAAACGCCGATTTCCACGCTCTTCTCGACGCTGCAGAGCACATCAAGTACCACATCATCGCTGTGCAGGAAACGAAGTCCAGGAAGAAGGACGTGCGACAGATGAATGATGGGACGCTCATCATTCGTGGTGAGAAGGTTCCATTACGAAACGTGGGAGGCGTTGGCTTTGTCGTCCACCCATTTATCGTCCATCTTGTCGATTCGCACGAGATCCTATTACCCCGACTAGCCATCCTACGACTACGCCTTCCACGTCAGAAGACCATCAGCATCATCAACTGCTACTCTCCAACATCAGCAGCTGACGACTCAGAACTAGATGCTTTCTACGAAGACGTGGAGGAGGTCGTCCGCAACGAAAAGTCCTTCTACAAGTATGTTGTGGGCGACTTCAATGCGAAAATCGGGATGCCACTAGAAAAGGAATATAGGGTCGGGAAGTTTGGATATGGGCTCCGGAACGAAAACGGCAACCGTCTCGCTGGGCTTCTCTCCGCCGCACGACTCTTCCATGGAAATTCCATCTTCATGAAGAAAGAACATCGCCGGTGGACATGGGAATCGCCCAACGGAACGACTCACGCTGAAATCGACCACATTCTCACCAACCGAAGGTGGAGCTTACTCGATGTCTCTGTAGTTCCATCCTTCTGCAATGGCTCCGATCACCGCCTCCTTCGAGCGAAGATACGACTCAGCCGAAGGCCGAAAAAGAAAGTCTGTCACAGTGCCGCGAGAAGGAAGGAAGTCGTTTATGACGGGAACAGGCTGGAGGAGCTCATGTCAAGATGTGACTGGTCCATCGAGGAGGACCCGACGTACGACTACGACCGGCTTCTGGAAGGATTGCGAGCCTGCGGAGAATGTGCCTCAGTGACTTCTGAGAAGAACTTGGGACGCATTTCGAAGACCACCAAAGAAATGCTCGAAAGAAGAAGATTTTTGAGGAAGGATCCGAATGCAACCCATCTCGAGCGACTGATAGCCAACACCAGTTGCAGAACAGCTATGCAGGAGGATCTCAGGAAGTACAGGCAAGCCAAGATACTGGAAGCAGCCGAAGGAAGACGAAGTCTTAAGAAATGCCGAAGGGACCTCGTGAATATCACGTGCGGCTGGCTGCGCTATTGAACGAAGACGGGACTCCGACTTCTTCCCGATACAAAATGGAATCTATCGCGAAGAACTTCTATACCAACCTCTTCCGCTCATCAACACCAGTGCCGATGCCCGTTGTTCCCACTGGAGAAGTACCACCACGAATTCTATCTGCTGAAGTGCGCACGGCGATTCAGACCATGAAGACATCCACGGCTCCAGGACCAGACCATCTTTCCGTCGAATTTCTGCGAGCCGGAGGACAACGTCTACACGAGATTCTCGCGTCGCACCTGACAATTTACCTTCGGAAGGAGAGGATTCCCGACCAGTGGAGAACGTCAAGAACCGTCCTTCTTTTTAAGAAGGGTGAACGGGAAGATCTTCAAATTTACCGTCCAATATGCCTGCTGAGTGTGCTGTAAAAGCTCTTCACGAAGATTATCTTCGCACGCATATCTAGGACACTGGATGAAGCCCAACCCCAAGAACAAGCTGGATTTCGCAAAGGATTCAGCTGCATGGACCACATCCAGACGGTTTCGAAAGTCATAGAAGTCTGCCGGGAGTACCGATTGCCTCTCGTCCTAACCTTCGTCGACTACGAGAAAGCCTTTGACAGCGTCGAAACCAACGCCATCCTGTCTGCGCTAGTCGATCAAGGAGTGGAACCAGCTTAGGTGAGGACACTAGCCGACTGCTACAAGGACTGTACAACAACGATGCAACTATTCCATCGCCCCCTAACCATTCCAATTGGGAAGGGGGTTCGACAAGGCGACACTATTTTGCCGAAGCTGTTCACTGCGGCCTTGCAGTGGGTGATGAAGTCACTAGACTGGGAAGAGAGAGGCATACGAGTTGATAGAGAATTCCTATTCAACCTTCGTTTTGCGGATGACATCGTCCTTTTCTCGAGCAGTATCACTGAAGCAGAGGCGATGCTGAAGGAACTAAACGAAGTAGGGAAGAAGATCGGACTGCGAATAAATCGGAAGAAGACTCAGTTCACGAAGAACGCCCTTTGCGAAGATGCAGAAATGGAATTGGAAGGCACCCCTATTATGGAGACGTCTTCTTACGTGTATCTCGGACGTTCGATAAACATGGAGAACGACTTGAGGGAAGAACTTAACAGGAAAAGAAGAGCAGCCTGGGCCGCCTTCGGGCCTCTGAAAGAAGCCACCGACCAACTGACAAACCCGCAGCTTCGTGTCCACCTGTTCGACTCAACCGTTCTCCCAGCGCTCTGCTACGCAGCTGAGACTTGGGCCGACACCGTAGCCACGTCGAAAGCTTTGAGGACCACCCACAGAGCGATCGAGCGCAGTCTTCTGAAGATGACCCGACACAAGCAACATCTAGTCGGACTTCGCAGCACGGATATGAGAAGAATGTCCCGTCTTCGTGACCCAGCGGAATACGTTGCGAAAGCGAAACACCGATGGGCCGGTCACATAATGAGAAGAACGGACGATAGATGGACACTAAGAACATCTGAGTGGATTCCTCGCGAAGCCAAACGTCCTCGAGGAAGACCACGACGAGATGGGCAGATGTGTTCGTGGAACGGATGGACCAGCTGAGAAATCAGCTGGATACGACTTTCGCCCCTGGAGCTCATGGACGCAGCCACCGACGACGGCCAAGAAGATCGTGGATGTCTGAAGCGAGGGACAGGAAAAAATGGCAAATTCTGTACTGGGGCCCGCACGTCACGTGAGGAAGGACGGGCCATCTAAGTATCTAAGTAAGTAAGATGTATTTAGTGCGGCAGTTATACGATGCTTTCACATTCAGGCTTATAATCAGATTTTTTTCATGTCTATCGCTTGCATATTCAGTGTACCTGTAGAAGTTTGCAGCATTCATAGTGTACTTAGACCGTTTGAGTCTTACATATTTCATGTCATATTTGAGTATGGTAAGGAACATACTCAAGACAAATATTAGGACGTTACATGAACTCGTAAAGTTTTCATTCTCGTTCTTACTTCTTTGAAGAGCGGTTAATTTGGGCAATTTGCGGCATGCGTATGTCATCGAGAAGAGCTCATCATGCTCTTTAAAACAGACTGATTATTTTCTATAAAGAGCTGATCTGCTTCGATTCCTCAGCTCTCAACGAAGGAATTCTCAAAAGCCAAAAAGAAGCATTTCCGACAATTTGCTCAGATTTTCTTGTCGATTTTGGAAGAAGGACTTTTTTCGTCAGTATGAAAAAAGGGATTGGATTGTTTTAAAACAAAGAGTTTGCAGGGTGTCACATAAGCAAGACTTTTTGCAGGAAAGGCAGAAGGTTCCCCACTGAATTTTGATAAACAAGAACAAGACGGTCGTCCATACCGTATGCGAACCGACTGCACATTTAAACTAAACCATAACTGCACAAAAGGTTTATTGAACAGATCCAGCAAACTTTTACTCTAGCACATTGTCATCTGTTCCAGTTTATGACCAGCCCTATGAACGTCTGTTTTGATTTTGAAGACGATCTCAGGCGCTAGTTAGACGTTTTTTTGAAAAGACCCGTTAAGTTTTGGAGGAACGGAACTAAAAATTTGATGGCATGGTCGTAGAAGGTTGTGCGCAATAATTGAACATACATTCTTGATTGGATTTTGGTGAAATCTTGTCATTTTGTTGATTTATAAAAACTGCACGAACTTATGAAACGACCTAGCATTTGGCTGAATGCCTACAGTATTAATGCCCCGTAATGGTTGCTGAAGGTTGCTACAGCCGAATTTTTGTCTGGTTTAATGCTAAGATTGAAAAGCTTACGGTCCAATCCCCATCCAAACGCTCTCAGCCGCACGTAAGGGTCCTGAAGTTCCAACACTTGATGCAGGAAAGGAAGACAAATATGATTTACTGTAGCCGGCACATCCTTAGTTAATTCAAGAATTGCAATGTCATGTGTGTATTTGCAACCGCGCTCGAAAAATCCTTTGTAGTATGCGCTTAAAATATTCGCAATGAAATTTAGTTTGTTCAATTATAACAAAAAGCAAACCCACGTATGATGTTTCACTGCAATGCCTCGAAACATACCGTGCAACTTTATACATACTGCTAACATCCGATATGGTGCAACCTTCTACACCAGCCATCACACATGTGCCGTTTATAAATACTTGTAAATTTCTTCTGACATAATCCAAAGTATACATTTTGGAAGTGCTACACAAAGTTATGACAGCGGCAGCGACACACTCAAATGAGATCTACCTGCATTCCGCGTCTCTTGGCCAAAAACAGTGTGCTGCAGTAATTACATGTCTTCTCGAGATGAGGGTCCCACCGCATAACCCTAAAATGAAGTTTTCTGCGGTTTTACATGCAAGCGTGTAATTGAAGATATAGATATCTTTATTATGCTTTCGTATGTTAGATGCTGCGCCAAAACTATTCAGCATTTTGCCTAAAATATAGGTTCCGTTACTCTGCCTGCACAGCATGATCAAAATCATCTCACAAGGGAAGGGTAGCAGTAACGATTGGCTAAGCGGTGCATACCGCGTACCGTCCCTAGAAGGTGATCTCTAAATTGCACTTCATAGCTGCTATGACGTCATTCTGGAAGAGCTATAAAGGTTTTTGCAAAAATGCAAAACCGGCAGCATCCGAGGAGAATCGAACCCACGCCATCCCAAAAGCAGTCCAAGCCACTATTCACTGCACCAGTCGATCACGGTATTGATAAGTTAAGTCTTGTACTTGAATGCGTCCGCAGCATCAAACCTTTATAACTCTTCCAGAATGACGTCATAGCAGGTGTGGAGTGCGGTTTAGAGATCACCGTCTGAGGACGGCATACGCGGCATACACCACCTGCTCAATCTTCACTGCGACCGTGTATCTTTCCTTGTCAGAAAAAATGATCCCGCTCAACCCTGAAAAACATAGGAACTTTGCATTTTGGTATCATTGAAAATGACTCTAAGAAATAAGCGTTTTGTACTAGGTTGATGCAAAAATAATGGCCGATTTTCCATCCTTTTTTCAAACCAACTTTTTTCCATCAAAACTTTTTCTATGGAAAGATATAGTATACTAATGAGAAGCTGTGTATATGCTCCATCTAATGCTGGTTAAAGCGCGCTTCCATCCTCATCAGTCTTAAGGCTACTGGGCTTTAAATAACCGTATCTAACTTCGGAATTATGTTGCATTCACTTCTTCTGGCCAGAATCCAAATGCGCATGATTAGCGCTTTTCGAAAATTCAGCTAAGGTGTGGCATAGAAATTGTCTACATCATGCATACTCAACTGTAAGTTTTGAAGTTATCTAGACTGGATATCGGCTTTTTAACATGGGTAGGTTAATGCGGTTGTTTTATGACTAACAAACTTTTACTAAAGAAACCATTTGCCAAAGCTTTGCTCAATTCTGTGAGCGTAATGCCAGTGTGTCCTAGTAGCAGTTTTGCAGAAACATCCAGTTGTTCAGTACGCAGAAAATTCCAGAAAATCCGAAAATTCCACAACTGTGATTTTCAAGCATACTGAAAAAAGGAAGTAAAAACTGACAATATTGAATTTTAATTTTTTTTCCTTTTTACAAATACTGTTTCTCCAAACCCATTTCATAGTGTTATACTACTGGCTTGCGGCTACAAGATAGGCCACTTATAATTTAAGTACTAATATTGAGAGAAGTTATGAATCGAATACAAGGTTTTAGAAACAAACCTTTTTTGTTTTCGTATTTTGCTGCTCGTTTGCGATATCACTGCACAATGTGCGTTGTACTCCAAAAGGTTTGCTGCTTCTGATGGTCTTTGCGCATTCGGAAATGTGGATTTTGAACTAGGTATAGCATTATTAAGTGAGAATTTGCAAATCGGCCAATATTTTTGCATCAACCTAATAAATAATAAATTTTTGTGACGACAAAATGAGACATTTACATTTTGACGCGGTGGATTTGCAGACAAATATTTTCAACCCACGTGGCGACCACGATTTATTGGAAGGGGTCAGAGTGATCGACGTTTGAGAAATCTTGTTATAATTTATCACTGCAGCACCTCTAATTCGGAGAAGCTAGCAGTAGTTCCACTGTTTGTCTAAGGCTCGTATGCACGTACATCCCCGTGGGTAGGGGAGGGTATTTGAGAGGGAAAGTGTCATATCTCGCTAGTCTACATATCTTTCTCCTTCTTTCTTTATATTGTTTATGAAGTTTCTCCTACACTGACACCTGCGCATAACGAATGCCAGGTCACTGCCATACCAGACTAGATATTCACTATTTCGTCTGATCCCCTGGGGATTCCCAGGGGATCACCTCAAATTTTCAAAGTCATTTATACTTCGAAAACTCAATGAAAACGCCGGCAAAATGTACTTCAGATATACTATGATACTGCTGAGCATGATCTCGACAAAATGGAATCTAAAAATTTTGATTTTTTCGATAATCCCTGGCTCGCGAGCAGCGGTTCATCGAAATTTTTGATATCTTGAGGATACCCATTTCTATCACAAGCATATTTAGCACTGCTGTAGTATCTCCACAGAACAATTTTAGAGCATTTTCATTGAGTTTTCAGGAAGATAAAGGACTTTAAAAATGTGAGGTGATCCCCTGAGGATCCCCAGACGGAATATTGAATATCTAATCTTGTATGACAGTAACCTGGAATCCGTTATGCGCAGGTATCAGTGTATGAGAACCTTCACAAGGAAGACAGAGAAAAACTTGAAAAGATATAAAAACTAGCGAGATATGACGTTTCCCCTCTCAGAATCCCCTCCCCCCCCCTCTCCCCCGCGGGGATGTACGTGCATAAGGGCCTTAGTCCTCCTGCTCGCTTTGAATCTTCTTGCACACACGCAGCCGACTGTCAAATGTAATAAGCTGGCAACTCTTCCCTCCCCCGCCGCCCTTCTCGCTATGTCAACGCTCCGGTTTGGCGAGGCAAACAAATTGTAGCGGATATTCGGCGTAAAGACAACGATATTTTTTCCTTTTCACCCTTCGATCTATTCACTCCTTTCAACTAACTCCACTCTTCAATTTCCGCTCATTCACCAACCGCTCAAAACAGTAACGAAACCTTTTTTTAATCAAACTTAGGAAAGAAAGTATTTTTACTTGAGATGGTTTCGCTCTTTCAAAATATTACATTTACAAATACTTACAAGGGAACCGTGTCGAGTCGAAGTGGCCTTTCCGGATGAGACCCATACTGCTTGAAGAGCATTAATCGATGATTTCAAATCTGCTTTCCAAATCTGCCAAGCGCCTCTGGACGCCGAGTTATGCTCGTTTTTCGGGTCAAAAAATTGAACGCAAAACTGAAGCAAAATCGCCCAAATTTGCTCTAATGGTCCAGTGTCGAGTGTCAGAGCTGTTTATGCAATGGATACATTTATTTTATATGCTAACACTTAACATTGCTTTATCTGAGCGCTGGAAAGATTGTAACAATCAATTTTACCTAAATTCTGCATTCATTTTTCGTTCCGAGAAACGGTCATAACTCGGCGTCCAGAGGCGCTTGGCAGATTTGGAAAGCAGATTTGGAATCACCGCTTAATACTCTTTAAAGCAGTATGGATCTCATTTGGAAAGGCAACTTTGACTCGACACGGTTCCCTTGTTAGATGAAATATATTATCATAAACAGTCAAATACGCAAGCACTTTCTAAACTCACTTTAGTGACACCGTAACAGCACGACGTCGATGGCAACAGATCAAATCATAGGGCACAGCACGAAATGACAAAAAGTAAACAAAGAGCATAAATTTACATCTCGGTATTGCGCTTCGAAGCTCTAATAATGACTGTGCGCATATTTCAATTTGCTATGTCCATTAGCCGGTATGTGTCAAAGTAAAAAAAAATAAAAACAGATACTACATAAGTCCTCCTTTCTTTAAGCCTTGGCATGGTAATAGTATTAGGTTGTACCGAAAGTTTTGTCGGTTTTTTTTCATTGCTCACCAAACCTCACAGAACAGCTCTGTCTTCGTTTGCTGGCCAAATGTTCATTTACACGCAATGAAAGTGGTCGACCGGTCTCACCGATGTAAATGGCCCGGCATGTTTGACATTCCAACTGACAAACTACACACTTCGTGAGCGATCCCCTGACCTTCCATTTGTGCACACAACGCAGTTTTGCGACTTGCAAGCATTATCGTACAATCAATTTCGAACCAGTTGTTTTCTGATGCTGTCTTGTGGTATACTCATTAAGACAACATCATCCTCCAACTGTGCTTGCGCAATAATCGCCTAACTGCATTGGTCACTCTGTCGGATATGAACGGCAAGCACTAAGGATTGCGTGTTCGACCGGTTGCTTGCGTTCATGCGTGTTCGCCTGGAGGTTTTGGGCTGCAGTGGGTATCCGTTGTTGGAAACGATGACGCGTGCCATTTCTAGAGACTCAAGTCTTTCACTTTCGCCGCTGCATACGCTGCTTGCTGTTCTGAACATTTTGCGGATAACCGCACGTTTCACGGCAGTTAGATGAGTAGAGGTCGCGTGCAGAATGATGTTCTTGCTGCTCTCTTTCCGATACCATTTAATGTGTACAGCGCTTTTAGCCAACATCACTTGTGTGTTGAGAAAGGGTAGCCAGCCATCGTGTGGTTCTTCTCTGGTCAAGCAAATGTACTGCGATTGTTCATTGAGGATCTTGAAGCACTCATCCATTTCGGACTGAATCGATGTGACAATGAAACAATCGTCTATGTAGCGGCAGTACAAAAGGGGGCGTCGCGTCAATACGGGCTCTTCTATCTTGCTCATAAAGCAGATAGCAAGGACCGGAGCTAGTTTTTACCCCATCGCCAGTCCTCTTAGTTGTTGGTAATACTTGCCCGCCCATCTGAAGCTATTACATCCAAGGCATTCCTTGATGAGAGTAATGATGCGTACTTTACTGAGTCCGTAGGTTTCCATATTTTTGATATGTGAATCGAGGAGCTCAGAAAGTGCCTGTAAAGCGTCATCATTAGACACATTTGTGTATAATGACTCCACACCAAAAAAGACTCTATTACACAATGCTGATCGAAATTCGTATTGCGTAATTGTTCAAGAATGCGATTGGTATCCGGCAGATGAGCGGGGATCGTACTTAAGAGTTGGTTGACAATCTTTCAGAGACCATGCAATCCTGTCTGTCGGCCCTCCAACGCAACTGATGACTGGTCGAATTTTACAATTTGCAGCTGACACATTTCGTGGATCGGTCGAGAGCTTATGCGTTTTAACGAAGCTACATGGGAAGGAGGACCATAAAGGCGAAGATTTTGAAATAAGTTGTAACATACTGGCAGTCGAGGAT